GCTTGTTATTTTTATGCTTTATTTAAATATAAATTAATCATTTAAAAAAATTAATTGTTCAAAATAAATTACTTAATAATTTTTTTTTCAAAAAATAACAAGATTTCAAACGTAATTAATCTTTAAATTACATTTATTTTTTTTTTTTCATTGTTTCAATTTAAAATTAAAAAATGCTTTTTAAATAAGTATCTTTTTAAGTACATACATTATAAGGCACACAATAATAGTCACAGCTTAAAAATATGAAATGAATGCAAAGTTCTGGATATTATATCTAGATTAAATTAAATAGCACGAATTTGAGACACACCATTTAAATATTTGATTAAAAACTTATGTAAAAATAGCACCTATATATTTGTCTTATTTTCAAATATATGTATATATTTAATATTCTATTAAAAATTTACAGTATTATCAAAATTTTGTATATTGTAGTGTTAAATTACGATTATATAAATTATGATTATACATATAAAATAACACATTTTTATTTTTATTTTCATTTTGATTATTCTGATATTTTAAAAATTTTATATTTTTTATATTAATATACTAATATTATTGAGCATATTATTGCATAATATACTAATATTATTGAAAATATTATTTAAAACAAATAAAAATATTATTTAAACACCTTTGAAGTATTTTAATCAATTTTTAAGTAACAATTTCATAAAAAATAAGTAATAAATTAAAAATTTCTTTTTCTTTATAATTAAAAATAAAATAAAAGAAAATTTATGCTTCATAATATATTAGGATGGTATATGTTTTGAATAAAACCAAGTAAATTAAGTATAATGTTTACGATCTTACATGTACAGCATAAGTACATATTCAAGCAATAAGATGCTTGATAATATATACATATATACAAATAATCTAATAGTCTTGAATTAATTTTGTGCTACAATAAAGCATTATATTAAGGCTATTTATTTGATTCATTATAGGATGCCCTACCCGCTAATTCGAGTAAATAACGATCAGGATGATCTATCCAATCGCTAGCGCTTAATTTAACGATCCTTTGTTTTTCTGCTTCCTTCACTTGCCATTTTTTAATTTCCAATTGACGTTCCCTATAAAATTTCAAATTATTTTCTCTGCTGAAATTCATCAGAATTAATATTAAAAATTAATAAATTAATATTAAAAAAAATTATTACCTTAATTTTGTGTCTCCACAACCCCAGACTTCTAAACTAGCAATTGGATAAGGTGCACCTGCAATACTGACTGAATGGAATGATTCATCTATACTAATGTATGGTGAACGAGGATTACTTCCAAATCGTAATCCATGAGGATAACCTCTGATACTAGTATTTAAATATAATACTTTAACTCCTTTTTCAATAACTCTATATGAAGGAAAAAGTTCGATACCCATTGAATTTTCACTACCCCAATATAGATGACTTTCGCGCCATTCTACCGCTGAACATATGCAATATGTAGGGCACACAGTATCTACATTTGAATTAACAGCTCGTATGAATAAAAGAGTGGGACCTCTATATCCTAATACATGATGAAGAAAACGATTAGCTCCTGTTCCATGTTCTGAGCTGTTATACAACAATGTCCAATGTCTAGCACATACATTGCCCATTCTTTTAGCTATAAGAGCATGAGTAATATCTTTTGGTGAATCATCTGCCTAAATATACATTTATCTTGTTATTTTATAGTTTAATAAACAATATATAAATTTTAAGTGAATTTATAATTATACCTGAAGATAACATTCAGGTAGTGTACTTGATAATAACCATACATAGCTGACAGGTAATAAAATTTGAGGAAAGTCTAAGGAATCTGGTTGTTCTAATATAGGTGTTGGTATCTCCAAATGTGGTTGAGGTTGTCCTTTGGATAAAAGAATTTCACCATTTCGATAAGCAGTTGTGAATACATGTATTATATAACGATGAGGACCATATATTATACGTGGACAATGTTGCCAGATCCAATTACTCGCATAACTCACAGATAAAGCATGTTTACCATGAAACTGTAATGTAATATATATTTTAATATATATATTTTATATTTAAATAGATTGTGAAAAATTAATGTTAATTTACTAACACATGATACAACAGCTGCATTTATTATTTGATTTGCATAAATGCAGGAAGAAATTCCACTATTATCCATAGCAATATTGTAAGAAATATTCAATAAAGCTTTTAATCCTTCAGGACTTATACTTCCATCTGCTTTTATATTAGAATACATTTTTACATAATTCTCTAATACAGTGTGATCATTCATTACAGAAAGGAACTTTTCTGCTTGTTGCTTAAAAGAATTGGTATTCAAATACGAAGTATTAATATTGGCAGAATGGTGAAGATAATTAAATAATTTTTCACCTAACTCTAGATAATTAGGAAAGAGATAACGTTGAAATACAGATACTGTAATGCCATTTATATGTTCTTGTTCATGCGTTAAATGAGATAGAATCTGGAAAATGAATAGTCTAATTAATAAATATAATTGTTTAAATTAATTTTATTTTATTAGGAATTTATAATTATATTTTATTTATAAGAATAAATTTATAAGAATAAAAAAATATAAAAAGCAATTATATCTTTTATATTTTGAAATAAAGTCAATAATAATTTAAATTTTTTATTAAAAAAAAATATTACAAAAACAATTTATTTATAGGTTACAATTTATAATAATCGTCAATGCAAACATTATTCAAAGATAAATGGATCAGAAAACAATCATTTAGAAATTATACAAACTGATTTGCATTTTCAAAATATAAAAGAATTGTTTGCAACAATGAATATTTTCAAAAGACGATCAAAATTTTGTGCGATATATCGAATATTTATTAATTAAGAAAATAGTATTTTTGAAATAACAAGTACAATAATCATAAATTAATTTCATACCTTTGCTAAACTTTCAATTGGAAAGAATTGCATATGCGAATTATTTTCCAATTCAGTTCCCGAGGAATTTTTCGAAAGATTATTTGCATTTGTACTGTCACCGGTATGCACGGCAACATCAGTTTTTTTAGCAGATACATGTCCAGCACGTGTTATTTGATTACCCATTTCTATTAATCAAATATTAAAATACCAATAAATTTATTTTCTTATGTGTCCATATCATCGTTCATAACAACAAAACATGCATGCAACCATATGCAACTTTTTAGAAGATTGTCATGAATGATATAAAGGCAAGTGGTGCACTCACTACAAATCGAATGCATATCCCCCTCTTTTATATTGAATATTTTTATATTGAAATACAGTTCTGTAAAGTTTTGTGAAGTGTAGTTCACTAGATTATATTCAAAAATGGAATTAATTAAAGAGCATATTATATAAATATATAATGTAAGTCTTTTTTTAAATGTTTTATTATGATTAAAATAAAATTAATAAAATTTATAATATTTTAATAATTTTTAAGATTTATTTTATTATAGCGATTAAACAAAAAATTACCCTAGAAAAAAGAAATTATCAATATAACATAAAATATTTTTCTTTTTATCAATTTAAAATATAAGATAGATTTTAAATTATTTATAAAATTTTATTTAGTTTATATAAATCTGCAATAATGAATAATCGATATGCATAAAACTTATAATTTTAAATATTACGCGCTTAGAAACGCCATATTGCGTTTAGAAGCGCGCGCATCTATCATCTTCATTAGCGCGTGAGATTTGGGGGGTGGGGCGAGTTCTTTTCCAA